TTAGCACCCTGAATAAAACTCAACTTAATTAAGTTAACTCAAACTCAAACTCAAAACTCAACTCAATAATTTCAACCCTGTTATTTACAAAGAATATATAATATAATTATTACGGATCGGAAATTCCGTTATTAAGCTTTAATAATAAAATTTATACCCGATAACGGATTAGGTTAATTTCCGTTAAAAAAATGCGGATACGCGTTAAAATATTTAAGGTCCGTTAAATACTAATTTTTTTATTATTTTAAAAAGCCTTAATATTAAATTAAATAATTTTAAATTAGGTAATTTTTCGAATAGCCTTTTTCCTTTTATATTAAAAATCTTTAGCGTTATATATATTTTTAATAATCAGGGTAGGTAAATTAACTAGTAGTTTTAGTTAGTAGTTCGTAATTAGCGAAACTACGTAGTTTTACTCACCTTACTAACTAAATTACGGTAATTTTACTCAGGCTGCTAACTAACTACCGTAGTTTTACTCACTTAACTAACTAACTACGCGTAATTAGTAATTAGTTAGAGTTAGTTAGTAGTTAACTACGTAAGTACGATTTTATTTAAATTATAAAAGATTTATTCTATTTTAAAGCGCTTTAATCGTAATAAAATAAACAAATTAAAAGCAAATAAAATGCCGTTATAATTAAATTTTTATCGTTATTATAATTATTTATTTTCATTTTTTAAAAATTAATAATTTATTTATTTATTTTTATTATAAAAATATTAAAAATAAAAAGAATTATAAAAAATCGGAATAAAAAAACAAAAATAAAAGAATAACGGCTTTATAATTCCTATTTATTCTTTTATTAATAATTATTAAAACATTTTAAATAATTAATTATTTTATTTATTATTTAATTTAAATCGTAATTAATTAATTAGCGTAACTATTAATTAAATTACGGTAGTTTAGTTTTACTTAAAGCCCTAACTAATTACGGTAGTTTTACTCAGGCTGCTAACTAATTACGCGTAGTTTTAGTTAATACTCTTAAAAACTACGCGTAATTAATTATTAACTAAATTACGCGTAATTCGTAGTTAATTACGCGTAGTTAATTAGTAGTTAATTAAATGCTAACCCTGTTAATAATCAGGGTTGTGAAAATTAACTTAAGTTTCCAGTTCCAGTTCCAGTTATTAACTAACTGGGCAGTTAAAGTTAGTATTTTGCTAATTTAAGTTAGTTCTAATTACCGGTTTAAATAACTGGCCCAGTTCCAGTTAATTAAGAAACTAACTTAAGTTAGTTATAGTTTGTATTTTACTAACTGGCCAGTTAGTTCTAGTTAACTGGCAGTTAGTTTAATTTAATCAGGGTTGGAAAACGGTAACCGTTAAGTTAACCGCATTGCGGTTACTTTAACCGCATAAAATTCAAACTTAAACTTAAAGTAACCGCAGTTATGTAAAATTTAAACTTAAAATAACCGCGGTTACGGTTATCGTAAATTAACCGCTAACCGCTATTAAAAATTAAGTTAATTATTAAGTAACCGCGCTATAAAAATATTTTATATTTTATTAAATAAAAATATTTATAATAAAAGTTATATAATAATTAAAACCTTTTTAATTAACGTATTTAATTTTATAAAAAACTAATTAAATATCTTTTAAATTAATAAATTTATAATTATTTTTATTAATATATTGCGGTTAATTACGGTTATTTATAAATAACTTAAAGTAACCGCGGTTAATTAAAACCCAAACTTAAACTGACAAGTAACCGCTTGCGGTTAATAAAAATCCGGACCGTAACTTAACTAACTTTAAGTTACTTAAACTTAACGAAGTAACCGCAAAAATAATTTCCAACCCTGAATTTAATTAATTAAAAATCAAATAAAAACGTATAAAAGAAACTTTTATTTTTATTTAAAAAACGATTATAAAGGAATAAATTACTTGAATTATTATTGTTTTATTTTTATTATTCGATTTTTAATTAATTAATAAGTTACTTTATACAGCCAGTTAACTGGTCCAGTTATTCCAGTTTAACTTAAGTTATTCTAGTTAAAATTAGTAAAAATAACTGGCTAGTTAATTACAATTAGCAATTTAAAAAACTTAAGTTAGTTTTAATTACAAGGTAAGCTAACTGGGCTAGTTCTAGTTAGCAGTCGAACTAACTTAAGTTAACTGGAACTGGGCCCAGTTTAACTGCCAGTTAACTATTTCACAACCCTGTTAATAATAAATAAAAATTTAATAGCTTAATCCGGTAATATTATTTAAAAATCGCTTATATTTATTTTAATACGTAAATAAAATTTATTTACGCTTTTTTATAAAAAATCGGGGGAAAAGCTTAGCTTATTAATATATTTAAGCAATTTTTACTTAAAAAATACCTTTTATTTAAAAACGCCCGGTTATATTCTTATATTAAATAAAACTTAATTTTATAATTGCTTATTTTATAAAATTAACGTTTAAAATTTTAAGGCAAATTTAGGAAAAATCCTAAAATTTAAAAATGCCTTCCGATTATATTTTTTTTATATAAACGATTATTATTATTATAAAAAGGTAAAATAAAAATATCCGGGAAATATTATTATCAGGATTAGCATTGAGTTAACTGGCAGTTAACTCAATTGAGTTAATTTAAAACTTAATTGATTTAGTTATTAACTTAATTCAATTGAGTTATTAAAATTGCTAACTCAAACTCAATTAATTTAATTAATAGGTAAACTCAAACTAAATCAATTAAATTGAGTTTATAACTCAATTAACTCACTAACTCAAAGAATTATTAATTTTAATTAATTAATAAATAAATAAAATAAAATAAAGCCGTAATTAAAGAAAAAGAAAAATAATAAATAAAAAGGTAATTTCTTTTTTATTTTACCGGTTTTATTAGATTTTTAGGAATTATTTTATTTTTTATTAATTTTTGTTTAATTATTTTACGAAACTTTAAAAATAATTTTAAAAGTAATTAAAAATAATAAAAATAGAGTTATTAATGCATTTTAATACTGTATTTTTATTAAAATTAATAATAAGGCCAGTTTAATTTAATTATTTATTTTATAATTAAAATTAATTATTTTTGAGTTATTGAGTTATTAACTCAACTTAATTGAGTTAACTCAAACTCAATTGATTTAGTTAGTAGGTTGAGTAAAACTCAATGAGTTATTAAAATTTAAACTAAAACTCAACTCAATTGAGTTAACTCAAACTCAAACTCAAAACTCAAACTAATTTTACCTACCCTGATTATTATAATAGCGTTTTTCGTTGAATTATTACTACGGTATCGGATATAAGCTATCGGATTACGGCTTTATCGAATAATCAATTTTAAAAATAATTTAAGGCGTTTTCGCTAGCTTAACGGCTTATTTATATTATTTTATTTATAATAGCGGGCGTTTACCTAATATATTAAATTTTATATTTTTATATATATTACCGGATTAAATTAAAATAAGCTATATTTAAGCCTTTAATTTACTTAATTTATAAATAATCGTTTATAAAATTTAAAAAAACATAATATATTATAATTTAAAGCGGTATCGTCCGTTATTTAGGTTTATAACTATTAAAAAAGGGGATACGGTGCTTAATTATAACCGTTATAGCTATAAATAGCGGATATTAATGCACGGTATCGTTAAAATATATTAGGTTATATTATATTTAGGGTAGGTAAAATTAGTTTAAGTTTTAAGTTTGAGTTTAATTAACTTAATTAAGTTAAGTTTTATTTAGGGTGCTAACTAAATTAATTAAGTTTAAGTTAGCATTTTTATTAATTTATTAAGTTTTATTTAGCCTATTAATTAAATTATTAAATTTTACTTAGGCTATTAATTTAATTTAATTAAGTTAATAACTTAATAACTCAAAGGATTTTTTAATTAATAAAAAAATAAATAAAATCGTTAAAAATAAAATAAAACCGTAGATTTATAAACTAATTATTAATTTAATTTTTAAATTAATAAATAAATTTATAAGTATTTTATTTAATAAAATAAAATATTTAAGTTATTAACTCAAACTTAAGTAAGTTAATTTATTTGAGTTTTACTTAGCCTGCTAACTAAATTAATTGAGTTTGAGTTAGCACTTTTGTTAACTCAATTGAGTTGAGTTAACTCAATACTAACCCTGATTATATTATATTATATTATATTAATTAGCTTTTAGCTAATTAATAATAGTGTTATTAATTATTAAGCTTAATAAGGGTTATAATAAATAAATAATAAAAGTATATATTTCTTATTTATAAATTAGCCGTAAGCTAATTTATTATATAATAACGCTAAGCGTTACGCGCTTAATTATCTGCTTAATCATTATATTAAGCTACGCTTAATAGGATTTTTTATTAAAAGCAATATCCGGATATTTATTTTCGTAATACCGTTTTTAATTCGATGCCCGAAAGGTTTTCACGTTAACGGTAGCTTTATAATTAGTATTTAATTTATATAATAATAAACGTTAACCTTAATAAATAATTTTAGTTATTTTTATATTAAATCTTTAATTATTTAATTAATTTAATCATTAATTAAATTATTAATTAAATTAATTTAATTTTAATTAGCACCCTTATTAATTAACGTTAATTAATTATTAATTAATTAAATATTAACCTTGCTTATAATTTATAAAATGCTTAATATATTTTATCTTTTAATATTGAAATTATAAGAATTATTTTATACTTTTAACTTGTGCGCATCCGCATAAATAATTATTTGCATAATTCATTTCTCGCTTTGAATAATTTATATAACGTGAAACTAAACGCCTGCCGCCTACACAACCAACTAATTCAAAGGCAGTTTTAATCGCGGTAAATCGAGCCCTCGGCCATTGGACTTTATTCCCTTGAAATTTCCAAACCTAAGCCTGACATTTGCCCTTTCATAATGCCACCCGCGCAAGTATTAGGCTCATATTCTCTTAATATATACCTCTTCGAAACCCCTGCCAAGGCTATTTGTTTATATCCTTGAGGCGGAGCCCCTCTCGTGATCTCCCGCGACCTTTTTCTCCTTGCGAGGTTTGAATACAAAGTCTGCCATGATCTGAATGTGGTCAGATGGGAAATGGTAATTAGGGAAACCTGGAACACGCTTCAGATAGTTGTAATCTGGCGGTCCCAGCAGTTCGGTTGCCTCGAGTGTATTGGTAGAATACCAGATGTAGTCAATCACTCCATTGAACGTGGGGACGTAGTTGGTAAAGGTCAAATCGTCAGGGGTGTTGCGAACATGTGCATATGCCGAGCGAAGGCTGAAAGGATGTGAGATGCCATCTCGTGTGAAGTTGCCATAGGAGTGGCCGACGAGATCAGGATGGTCCGGAGCCACTCTGCCACGGTCCAGGAGCTCATAGACGGAGCTATCATCTATTGAGTTGTAATCGCCACAAACCAACAATGGTATGTCAGTATTGCTCCGGTATTCTTGGCTTGCAGCCGGAGGCGACTCCATCTGGTCGGAGTCCAACTCGGACACCACATCAGTGGTGACGGACCTGACCAGACATTTCTCGCTTAGGCTGATGGGCAGTCGCCGAGTGTACTTCTCCGACATCTTGGTGATTTGCTCCATTAGTATACCTGTCTGAACGGCCTTGACATCGGACAGATGACCCTCCCAGCAAAGGTGAGCATTGACGACAATGAAACGTGCACCAGTGGCTCGCGACTCAAAGAAGCAAAACATGCCAATGTTGTCCTTGGGCATGACTCGGTTGAATACATCCTCGGTAGTCTTCATGTCGGGTCGGTTGATGGCCATACTACGGAAGTCAACCAGTTGTTTGTCTAGCAAGATGTACTTGGTGTTCTTGAAGAATATCGCACACCCATCGACGAGGCCTTGTTCGGTCTTGTCGCGCATGTGGCTCACACGGGTTTTGGGGTAATGAACGCCACGGTAGTCCAGCTGTGCCAGCTCAGGAGTAAAGAAGTTCTCAAAGGCATCACCCGCGATCTCTTGCAGACAGAGAATGTCTGCGTCACGCTGGCGAAACTCATCCATAATGACACTCCTTCGGTATTCCCAGTCCAAGGCACCGACGGGGGTGTATCCATACTGCGCCGTCGTTGCGTAGCGGTCGCATAGAGTGTTCCAGGAGAGCACCCGTATCCGCTCGAGGTTTGACGAAACTCCTTCCTGCAGGGGAATGGGCATACGTGGCTCGGGGGGCATGGGCACTGTGGGAAGAAGAAGAAGAAACACCGGGTCAGCACGCTGATTGTAAAGTAAAAGGAAAGGGAAAAGGACAGAGGGGGTGGGACAGATCGGGACATGTCCTTACCTGGAGCTTGCTCCTTCAAATAGCTGATCAGACCCTTGGTATCATCCTCCATTAACATCTGCTTCATCTCGCTATTCAAGGGGTTGCCCTGAATGCCCAGGAGCTCGAGATGGTGTAACGCGCCTAGCTCAAAGGGGAGGTCACGGATCTGGTTGTTAAACACGAGCAGCTTCCGTAGCGGAGTGCACATGCCCAGCTCCGGCGGCAACTCGGTGAGATGATTGTTGGATAGGTCGAGATGGCGAAGCTTGCGCAGCTGACCAACGGCAGGAGGGAGATAAGTCAGATTGTTGGAGCAGAGATAGAGCTCCTCGACAAAGGCATAGCGGTCGAAGACAGTCAGAGAAATGGCGCGGAGTCCTTGGCCACTGAGATCCAAGCTCTGCCAGTCTTGACGGTCCTCGTTCTTGTCGACATTGACAGGCCGGCCCCGGTCTTCTTCCTCGCCGTCAAGCTGGTCGTTTCCAGTGCCATTGTTCGTATTGCTGGGGGTGGTGATGCTGGCGGGTAGGACAGGCCCAACACCGCGGTTCTCGGCCGCTTTGGCCCTAGCGAAAAAGTGCGGCTGGTGCTGCTCGGTCATGGACTGGTGGGCACGTCTACTCTCTTCGTAGGCCTTTGCCTGCTCGGATAGAAGCTCGCCGGCAAGTTGGCTCTGCTGAGTTCGGGCGACGCCGTTTTGATGGCTGCTCGGGGTGAAGGGGGCAGCAGTAGACAGGATGCCCGAGGAGAAGGCCGAGTTAGCGGCATGGTCTTGCTGGTGGTGGTGCTGCTGTTGCTGTTGCTGCTGCTGCTGCGCATGATGTTGATGCTGGTGCTGGTGTTGACTCTGAGACTGGACGTAGCCATACATCATCTGCGGCGCCATGGCGCGCCCTCCAGGAACGCCATTGAGACGAGAGCCGTGGCCCTGCTGCGGGCCGTACATGTTTGTCCCTCTTGCTCTACTCGGAGGCGCGGAGGTGGTTCGTTACAATGGAGTGCTTCTCGTGGTGACGTGTCCATACGTGGGGTGGCATGGAAAGCACCCAGTCGCCAGAGGGTCGTCTTCTTTGGGCAGTGTGCGATTATGTGGTTTGAAGCGGTCTGTGTGCTGCTGCACCTGGAGGAGGAGGAGGACACGGCGATGTCTATATTCCAGGGCTGGGTTTCGAGTCGACGTTGATCGAGGAAGGGGTGGGCCAGATTCAAAAAAAAGTTTTTATTCTATCTCTTCCCCTCGCGTTGGATTTTTGCGGTATTTCGATGGTCGGTGGGCTGATTCGATTCGACGCGCCGGGCAAAGGAGTTGTGCGTGGGCGCTGAGCGTGTGTAGTGCAGCTGGACGAATTGGTGATGTTTGGTCTATCGAAATTGGTGCTAATGAGTGGCCGGCGGGGCAGAGACAAGTAAGTGCAAGAGGGAAAGCAGAGCTAGGCTACCCAGGTAGGGGAATGAAGCATTGGCCCGTCAGCAACGAGCAATCATTGAAATTGGACAATTAGGTGTGGTTCTCGTCTTGCTCCTTGGTACTGTTGATGGATGTGGGCGTCGTCGTGATTATTGCTGTTGCTGGTGTTGTTGTTGTTGCTGCTGCTGCGTGACGATGCTATGCAGCGCGGCTGGCATGTCTATCGCTACACGTAGGTAGGTAGGTAGTAGTGGTGGCACAAGGAGGAGCAGGAGGTCATGCACAAATAATGGAAGTGGATGAAGAGTGGGTGGAAGCTCTGCGAATTGGTCAATCGGTCAATTCATGAAACGCGGAGGCGTGAATGAACTGGGCTCGCTCTGGGTAAGCTCCGGAAGCATGGAGAAGCAATTGGGCTGACAGATAGCAGCATAGTGTTTGTGTGTGTATATAGTGGAGTAAAAGAACGCTCGTCCTGGTGTCGTCGGTTGGTTGGTTGTACGTAGTACGTATTGAAAAGAGGTCGTGTGGTTGGGTATACCCCTTATTGACAATGGTGATGTTATGCATCACCATTGTCCATCAATCAACCAATCGATTAAACAAATCCATTAATCGATCAAGCCAGTGTGAGAGAGACAAACACAATCGCTCCTCCAGCTTGGCTAGGTGGGCTAGAAATACCATTGAATGTGCGCAACAAGTTCTGGGATCAAAGATACCACCGTTATTGCTCATCACTCTACTACTTCCTCCTCCTGCTCTTCTTTTGCTTCGAATCATGATTGATCTTTCTGAACACACGAGTATAGTCAATCTCAAGACAGAAACTCATGTTCGTGGCAGCAGTAAAGAAGCAGGACAAGTAATGAGAAAGTTGCATTGGCCATCCAGCTCAACCTTCCGTGCCTCATTCAACACTCAGACCACACCTGGGACACGTTGATACAGCAGGTCTGCCAACGAAGCTATGCAAAAAGTAAGAAGGAAAAGTTTTCCGACTAAAGCCTTATCACGCGTTTGCCCGAGGTTCGCTCATTCATTGAACTACGCGAGGGCGAGTAAAGCGTAGTTTGCAAGAGGTGTAGCCAGGCTTGCTCATATATATTATTCACTTCTCGACCTAGACTATATTTGCCCGTCTCCTTTACCGCTCGTGTTTCATGCGGCTCTGGCCACCACTGCTTCTGTTGACGCCTCAATTTCCCCCATTACACGGTATAGGAAAATGACCAGATGGAAGGTCTGTATCAGCCTACTGTGCAGCGGCCTAGTATGTTGGTCCAGGTCTAATGGATCGATTCACCCACTAGAACTCATCTTCGATAGGGGGTCGAGGTGGTCCGTACGGTCCATGCTTCATTGCATTATTTGGATTCCTGGCCCAGAGTTGTGTGTTTTGTAGCATGTTAAAGTAATGCATGGCAGGCAGACTGCTCGGTCATGTGAGCAGCAGAAAGCCAGTTTTCACTGGCTCAATACCAATGTCGACAATACTTATTTCGACATGGGCACATCATACTGGTTTGGTCTAATCGCTTCAATTGCTCAAATAATCTAACCGCTTTGACGACGGAGTCAAGACCATCGATGTATTAATTCAAACTTTCCTGGCCGGGTCCGTCACATATATGTCAGACCGTAGTCGGCTGACCTATAGTGCTCGGATAATCTGGAGCGTCACACAAAAACCTATTTACTTACACACATATATAAATAAATAAAAATACGCCGCGGCCAATACCATGGCGATGGACGACACATCATGTACCTACTCAACGAAGATTTCAAATACACGGCCTCGATTCAACTTGAAGGCTCACTCGATTGCCTACTCAAACACACCATCGTCTTTCCACAAAGTTGGCGAGGATTCTGCAACCATCCATCCAAACGTCAAACCGCCCATGCGCGCGGGGGACGGGTGGCCTACGTTTACGACACGCTCCAGCACCCGTCAACACCATCCGTATAGAGTCGGCAGCTCCCCCTTTTCTCCGCAGCCCTCTCCCGACCCTGACTGAGCGGCCCATGGGAAATTGTGACATTGTACCAGTCATCCAGCAGGTAGATCAAGTCCAGGCCCCGTCGAGGGCGGACGGTTCCGGCTTTTCCCCAGCTTTTACCCCTCGTCCCCAGCTCTCTTCTGGATGTCAGCCCGAGTGTGATGGGGTGGCATGCGGGGAAGACGGCCGGCGAAGCCATCTATGGAATAATACCCCAGATATCGTATGCATGCAATGTGTCTCCTCCCTGCCCTGCCTTGCCCGGCCCAGTTAAGCCCAAACTCGGTGCTCGAATCATAGACTCCGCGCACCACGTAAAGTACTTTAGGCGGTAATTCCAGCCTCTGTGTCTGTCGTCTGACACGATTGCGTGGAGTTTACAGGTTGGCTTATATGCCGAGGGACACTCGTGTGCGTGTGTGTGTGTGTGTGTGTGCAAATCCTTCCTGCTCGATGCCAGAGCCGCAAGCCGCTCTTGCCCCTTCCTGCTGCTTGCTGGCATTCGGTACTCCCATATGCCAGCCTATAAAGAGGAGTTGCGCCGCAGGGTCAGATCTAGGCCTGGCCCCAACAGCGAAGACGGCAAGACAACGTTGATCCAGATATCCTAGCAGTTAATCCCACAACACATGCGTAGAGGCATCGGGTAGGTGATGTTTGCAATGGACATATTTATGCCTGTCGCAAGCACTTATAGACCATCAATTCAGAAGCAACGGCAGGCGCAGGCACAGGCCGGCGGCGATGGCAACAAGGACAAGACGGACAATGCAGAAAGACAAGCAGTGGATGCACCAGGCCGAGCTGGTAGCTCATCGGCGGCGGCACCTGGAAAGACACGCATTCGCTCCAAGTCCCGCTCCAGGTCCAAGTCGAGGACAAGGACGAGGAAAGGTCTTCAAAGACGGGTGCGGCGGTTTGGGCACAACGACAGCGATTCCGAGAGCAATCAGGCTCAGGCAATTGGCGGCAGAGGTAGTAGAGCTGGGCCATCATATGGCGACGTGGACGAGCAGCGCAGCAATATGGCGCAGGACAAGGACACGGGAAGAAGAGCGGTACTCACCCCAACGACTCCATCGAGCATAACGACTCCAACAGGTTTGAGGGAGGAAGCGCTGCGTAATGGCGCCGATGACCCTGCATCATTTGTATCCGCCAGCAGTGGAAGTTTGTGGAAAAAGCAGTCGACGAAGAAGCAGCAGCAGAAGAAAGGGCGAGGATTCAGTTTCATCAATACAAGCGGCGGCGGCGGCGGCGGCGGCAGCAGCAGCAGCAGCAGCAGCAGCAGCGGTGCCTTCTCCAGTGGTCGCGGGCTGGATCCGCAGCGCCTGGATTTGAGCCACAGCGGCGCAAGCGTGCCGTCGGGAAATGCGACAGCGGTTGCCAGCCCGTCCAATCTGCCCAGATGGGGAGGCAGAAGCACTAGCAGTAGCACTGGGCAAGCTGGGGGGCATACTGGAACAACATGCAACGACGCAATCCTAAACCCTGTAGCCCCGCCAGAGCCAATTGCCCCCTTCACCACCACCACTACTGGTGCAAACACAACGTCGTCCCCCCATTCCTCTCTGTCCAAGACATCTTCATCGTCGGATGGCAGAATCAGCGCCAGCCAACAGATCAGTCAACACCCTCCAAATCCTCACCCGTCTGCGCCTGCTTCTGTGAGAGCCCGTGCTGCTAGCCTCGGTGCATCGGTCGCCGGCATCAATCGCCAGCCTGCGGGCTCCGCCGCAACTGACGTTTCCTCCTCCTTCTCCTCCTCTTCCGCTCCCGCTTCAGCTGTCGTGGTCGCTGCTGCTCGTGGACGAATCAACAGAGACATCTTCCCTTCTTCGCTTGCCACTGCTGCCCCCACTACCAATTATTCTGCAAGACAAAGTACTACGGCGATACCGTCACGTCTTACTGCCCATGGTTCTCGCTCCGCTGCATTAGCAAGCTCAGATTCCGAGCCCCTGGCCGCGACACCCTCGCCCCCGGGCGCAGCCCTCCTTCTTGGCCTAGGTGCTGGCGCTGGCGCTGGCATCTTGCCGCCAGACAGAGGCGCTCAGAGACGGCACTCTTCAAACCATTATGCCGCCATGCTATCTGATGCTCAAAGCGCCTTGCCTACCAAGTCCTCCAACTCTGCTGCAGCTTATCGCCGTACCGGTAGCGTCTCGTCTGCGTCCGTCTCGGGACCCCCTCACCTCCACCGTACCGGCATCATGACCTCCTCCGAGAACCTTCCTCCCTCCTCTCACGAGGGTTCTGTTTCAGCCTCTAATTTATCGGCGACGTCCAACCTAGCGCTCAAGAACCGCGTCAATGTCAGTCCCAAGCCACTGGTCGTCCGCAACGGCCGTACCTATATCCACGACGATCAGCTACCATACCCTTTGCCTGTGGATCTTGCAGAGTTGCACCGCCAATCACTTCGTACGCTCCTGCTGTTTCAGCTCTTTGGTGGCCCTATCATTTCCGATGCCTTTGCTTCAAAGCCCCCCCAGCGCATCCTCGAAGTGGGCTGTGGTTCGGGCTTCTGGAGCATGATGTGCCACCGCTATTTTGCTCAGCATGGTCATGGTGGAGTCTCCTTCACCGGAATCGATATTGTTCCTCTCTGTGGCACTGGCCCTGATCCTAACTCCAAACCAGACAAGGATATGAACTGGCGCTTTGTCCAGCACGACATGCGCCGAACCCCGTGGCCCTTCCAAGACGGTGAATTTGACCTGGTCATGGTCAAGGACATGTCGTGCGCCGCGCCCGGTCAGTTTTCTCAGATCTTCATGGACGAATACCTGCGCTTGCTCCGGCCTGGCGGTGTGTTGGAGATATGGGAGACGGATATGAGCATGCGCATGTTGAGGCCGCATGTGCCTGCGACATCAACGGCTGCTACAGCTGCCGCAGCTCCACCTATCCCTGCTACCTCTGCCGCCGAGGATAGCGAGTCTGGAAGCGAGGATGAAGACGATGCCACCCGACTGGGCGTATATGTCGTTTCGGCAAACACACCATTGTCGGCACCTTTGAATCAATTCCTGGTCGAGTATAACGGCTGGCTGAGCAAGGCCCTGGATAAGCGTTTCCTCTCAGCCGTCCCTTGCACCATGATCGGTCCCATGCTGCTTCAGGAAGACGGCCTCATTGAGGTACGGTCCAAGCGTATGGCGGTCCCGCTGTCCGAGGTGCGCTGGGAGCGTGAGGGCGTTGGTGGTGTGGTCACCAAGGACGGAAAGAGCTACATTGACAGCATGAAGGGTAAGGGAAAAGCCAGCGACCACAAGGGTGGCAAGGGCGGAAAGTCTTTGACGGCTGCTCAGGCAGCCATACGAAGAACAGCGCTCGAAACCAGTGTTGGTTTGATCCAGGCACTCGAGCCCATGCTGCGCGATGTGAGCGGCAAGAGCCAAGACGAATGGGATGGCTGGACGGGCAAGATGATGAATGATCTACTAAGAGATGGCGGCACGAGCTGGGGTGAGTGTCTGGAGATTGGTGCCTGGAGTGCCAGGAGGAAGAATTAACAAGCCACCATTCCCCCTCTGGAACAAGCTTTGGACACCTCGGCCTCGAGGTATACCGCTGATGTGGGCTCCCCCCTTTTTTTTTTCTCTTCCCATCCACTCCTTCCTTCTTCAGCATTTGGACTTTGTATGAGATTATGAATCCTGCTGTTTGTCAGAGATTGATGTGGATTGGACTCTGTGGAAGGGTTCGCTTCGTCAAAGTCCGAGTGTTCCATGATTACCACGATGTCGCTGAGCTCAAATCACACAAGTCTGGGAATGGTTTCATACATGTTGCGACCCGATCGCAAGTTTATAGATAGAGATACCATATACTGGACTTCAATGACAAGATTGTGGATCGTCATGGACTAAGCCTTTCGCTCCATTCATAGATGCCCATATGCCTTCCTCAACGTCCGATAGCGCTTCAAGTAATATCTGTGGTGATTCCGTCAGCTCGAGCACTACGGACATTCATAACCGGCATTGTATTCGCCCTTCCGCAGAGATAAACAGGCACCGATCGGTTTTTGCTTGGAATCCAAAAAAAAAAAAAAAAAAAAGACAGGAAGAGGGTGAAGGATAGGCGAATGGTGTCAAGGGTCTGACACTGTCTGCAATATAGTGTATAACAACATCCTAGTTGCATCAGTGTAGATGGGAGGAATATATTTGTCCTTACAGTGCCTCAATCTCTGTGGTAGCCGTGGTCAGCAAGTTTCAGTGAGGGCGAGCTTGCACAAGCACAGATGTCATGGTCAGTGGTCTGTCGAGCCACCCGGAATCATTCTCCCCAGAACGGGACGGAGACAGGCTGGGTTTGGTAGATACATACCTTTTCGGACAAAGTCGGCTCTGGCAATCCCTTTGCGTATATCGTCTTCGTTTCGCAGATGAGCATTGGCCATGAAGGCCTTGTGTAGGCGAGGCCGGAAGTAGCCAAAGCCCAGGGGATAGTCCTTGCCGAGATGAAGTAGTTCTGTTGATGCAGTTTAAAGAAACCCATGAGTCAGCCAGTCGTCTCTTCCGTCTTACTAACTTCACTCGCTCGGTTCTAGACATTCTGGTGTGAAACCTTTGTAGATGGATATGACCTCTCTTCTCAATACGGCATCTGGAGGCGACATGATGCGGACTGTTGAGTCAATGGGCGAAATCGGTCTGGTGGTTGGTTGGTTGGTTGGTTGCTGGCTGGCTCTCTTGTCTGCCACCTCGTTCTGGCAGCCCGGCCTATGTCCAATAATCGGGCAACGGGCCAGCCAAGCATTCGCAGGCAAGTCAATGTCGTGAGTATGTAATGTAGGTAAGCAAGGATACTGGTAGGTGTGCAAGATTTGAGCTACCACCTGAGCCCGCAATCTACACTATATATAAATTATACGAAGAATCTTTGGCCAGATTATGAGGGTGGTGGTTGGCGGGTAGTGCAGTTTAGTGTATAATTTCTGAGCTGTGTTTTGCTGGTGGTGGTGCTTGTTGTAGTAGACGTAGTTACTTATCGAGTCATTCGCTATACGTCTGCAGTTTCAATTGCATCGTTGTTACGGCAGAGTAATGTATGTATGTAGTAGTGAATGAGTAGCAGTAGGAGCTGGTAGTCGGGTGACGCCATAAATTCATAACCGTACGTACTGTGTAGACGCTCTACCTACCTACATGTAACCTACCTACCTAATGTACCTGACCTTATTAGATTAGCCTCGGAAAGGCACCGGCACCCTAATTGAGCTCCACCACCAACAACCAAGAAGGGCCACCCCCCCAAACCCGTCCGCGTGCCAGCCGAAATGTCCGATCGCGCCTCCGGTGTATGCACCTCCATTGTATAATAAGTACATCTAAATAACCTCAGCACGCCAACTGCGCAACTTAAATCACATAAGCGCCAAAGGGCTCGCACTACTCAAAACACGGTCACAGGTTGCCTCTGCTTCACTGGCGTCTTACCGAATTGATTACCTTTCCGGGCCTTTTCAGGAGAGAAACCAAGACAAGATGTCAGGGTTGACACGATTTCCTGCAACCCTTGGGTCTTCCCTGCCGAGTTGGCAGCATAGCGGACTGCCCCGGCGCATTTTCTCTCAGTGCACACGGCGTTTCGCTTCCTCGGCTACCCCGCCGTCGCCACTGCCACTGCCGTCGCCGCGATGGCATGGTGATCTGAAGGCTCGGCTTGGAAAGTGTATCATGTTTGGTTGTTCTCCTTCGCAGATACAGCGGGCGGCTGGAGTACTGCGCAGCTTGGCACTGGAATGGCGATCTCTGACTGCAGAAAGCGAGGGGTTCCTCACGGGCAGCAGAAGAGGTCTGGAGGGTCAAGCAGTGGCGTGGGGGGAGATGGACAGTTTTGTGAGTATGGAGCATCTTGGGTCTGCCTAGGTCCGTGGTGTCTGTCTGGATATGGGTCAAATATCTGATACCCATCGCACCAGCAAGAGATCATGCCGGTACATTTTCAATCTTGCCATGACCTCTTCTTCTTCTTCTTCTCCTCCTCCTCCCTGTGACGTGACTCACGTCGGTCCCCAAAGTTGTCAGCCTCGCCCAGCCCTACTCAGCAGTCGAGCTTCATGTTGCGTGCCTTACCCATACTGACTAAAGCCCGTCCCAGCAACATGTCAATAATGCTGCATATATACGATATGCCGAGTCATCTCGCGTGAACTGGATAACGCACTTCGCTGCTCTAGATCCGTCTAATGCGGCTGAGTGGAAATCTCTCATGAGCCCAAACGGTGTCGGACTTATTATGAAGAGCATCAAGGCCGACTACAAATTTGTATGTCTGCGACATACCAATTATCAGAGAATCTGAAGTGGCATACTAATTCGTGCCTCTCACACTCTATTCAGCCAGTAGTGTACCCCGATCGCATATCCGTCTACCACAAGCTGCGGTCCTTGCCTGGGAGGTCAGACACGTCACTCATTCTCGACTGCATGATCTTGTCACACAGACATCACCGCGTTGCCGCCCGCACCGCGGAGGATGTTGTGATATATGATTACAGGAATGCCACCAAAACAACTACGCCCCCTTTTGTCCAGGACGTGTTTCAAAGCACGTGGGAAAAGCAAGAGGCGGCGATATGTTCCTCCAGGGCCAGGATATGGCAGCTGACGAAACAAGTCGAGGAGATTGAGAAGGAAACATGGGACCGCGAGGATGCCGTCGAGGATCTAGGAGCTTCTGGCAGTACAAGGCCTGCCAACTGAGTATTGCCCCGCCAGATCTATAGTGTTCTGGAGTGTCTTGGTTTTCCGTGCGTTGACGCTGAAGGGAGGGGAAGGGGGGACAATGATCCGGCACCAGGCTCGGCAGAAATGAATACCCTGTTGTGTGATATTCGACTTGCGACCCTCGAAGACGTTTTAGCTGAATTATGATATGGGACTTTTATTGATGGCGAAGGTAGAGGATGAGCAAAGTTGACCAAGTAGACATGGGCTAGATATTGCATAGACCGAACAAGAATCCAGGTCTAGACAGCCGGAAGGCGATGTCTTAATCGAGTGTTTTTCTATGACGATGAACTGGCGGATCATGATATACACACACACACACGCACATATAAAGATATATATATATATATATTTATGTCTGCCACAGAATGACAGATGGCAGAGTACTCTGGCGGCGACGACAAGTGGCTAGGAACACTCCCATGCCGCCAATTCACATACTTTCACCGAATATGCCAATCTGACCCCGAGCAGAAGTTTCAGGCTTCATTTACGCTTTGTTTCTCACGACATACTACTATGATAATCGATTGTGTCTCAATACTCATCAAGATTACGCATGCGGTAAAGCAATCTTGACGTGTCTTGGAGGATGTCCTTCTTGGAATTCTGCTAACCATGAGTACCGCTGGCTTAACGAGTCGAACCAGCAATCGATGGAAAGAAAGGGAGGGGGGGGGGATAATATCAAAAAAAAAAAAAAAAATGGTGCATAGCTGAGCCGTTGTAAGCTTGCTACTGGGATGTTGAAGTCTGTCTTGTCTACCCAGCTGCGGTTGTTGTCACACCCAGTTGCATGCGCTGTGCAATGACTCTGGTGTTGAGCCCCCTATTCTCATTCGGGTATTACGTACGTATAGACCATCCGTCCATCTGTGTCGTCTCTTGCAGTTGGGTGCTTTGCGTTTTGCGAGACTGTGAAGAGGCACGACACCGCCATTCGATCCCCTGTACAATCTCTGGTACCGCTATATCCTCTGCACACTAGGGAAAACAGTCAAGAGTAGCCACACCGCGATATCGTAAATGCCGACACGGCAAAGACAAGAGCGTTGCCGACATTCGCCTGCATGTACTATGCCCATGTCTGTCGTAATAAGGCGAGGCGGAGGAACGGGTTAAGGCATTGATGTGCAGCAACACCCAGCATGGTGCATATATAAACACGCAACTCCATATAGTCTCACTTGTCCGGCATATATGCACCTTGTTATGTGTGTAAGTATGAAGCATATCGGCAAGAGTAGAGCCTGTGTTGACCGATTCATGATTGTCAGTCTCCTAGCGACCATGAGAATATGCAGCACCGTGAAGCAAAGATACGAGGGACTTGAGAACGGCTCAAACGGACGGAATCATGCTGCAGTAATACGCACGCGGTATCGGTTCAGCAGTGTCAGAGACATTCACTTCCTCACCGTGGAGGTTGTTCACCATCTATGCTCCCGAATACCAAGCCGTTGCCCGTGTTGGTTGGCTGCTTGTTGCACATCGGCTAGGCTGCATGCGTACGTTTTTGGAGACCAGACCTGCATCCCAAATGAGGATATTTGCAGATCACACCCAATTGGGAATACGGCATTTGAGTTCTGATATATGCCTACCTACATACATACCACATGCATCAGACCAGCAGGAGCCAAGTTGGAATCGTTCGATTACCGTGCGAGGCTAGTCAACTGCATCTTATACCTGACTACCTAACAAGCCCAGCTATCGACTACATGCATAGGATACAGTAGAGTTCTCGACTAACGTTGCTTCAACACTCATCTCGGGCAGGGATCGGCCATGCGTATACCTGGAGTTTATGGTTTTGCTGCCCAGTGAATGGCTGCAACGGCGCTCGCATGACTTTGGATGACTCCGCTGATGGCCCACCGTGAATGCCGGCAGTACAGCAGAGGACCAGTTAGAAGCGATGGTGATGCCAGGGTAAACTGGCGTTGCGCGAAACGCCCAACCGCTATTGCTGGCTGTGGTGGATAGTCAACCTTGACTGAAAAGGGAAATATCCTTTTTCTTGTGGTACTGATCGCGGCTGAAGCGTTAACGTCGTTGCATTGCGCTCACAGGAAACCATGTGCAAATGGCTTCAAGCTACTGTGATTGGTAAATGCAGCGGAGAACTGGCGACAGATAGAAAATTGGTATGCACTCCAGCAAAGAGACTGGGGATACGCGAGGCATGGCCGATGTTCAATGTTCACGAATGAAGATGGATATCCATCATTGACAAGAGAACTTTACCTATAAGCTGACGTGACTTTGATTACGAAAGACATCCACCGAGAAATGCCAGCCGGTATCAGTTTTGAGCTCGTACTGCTATATTGAAGATATCTCGACGGCAGGATCCGTGATGAATCAGCATGTATTTCGCCGGCTAGCTATATAACTGACTAATAAAATTCAACACGTGATGAGCCCACTGATCGATCCTGCGTCGATGCCGGCTGACTCGAGTACTATACGGTGTCCAGAGCTCTAGCTTATCTTTTCTGCCCTTGATATCCAGGATATCTTCGTTCTTGTTCAAACTCGCCGCTTGAGGTTCAATGTTTCCCTAGTCACTAGAGGGGTCGACAAGAGCCAGCAGGTTTCTTTGCAGCCAAAGCAATGACGAGAGTGGAAGTGTTAGATCTAGACCAACTCTTTGCGTGAATGACCCGAGGTTTGTGGAGTGTAATACGCACTACTTTTATATGTTACGTAGTGAAGTGTATAGATAGAGCAGGAAGGGAGGGGGGGGGGGGGGGGGGGGGGCAAAAAAGAGAAGCACGAGAAGAAAAAAAAAAAATCCAATAAGAAGTCTGCTGCAAGGTAGATAGATACCCTAGTATAGTATAGATAGACCGTAGAAGCCGCATCTCCATTCTTTGGCGTCAAGCCTTTCCCGCCCTGTTCAAGCCTCGCACGCCCCGGATGTTCACTCGAACAGGTTCAGGGTATCAGTGCTCGAGTCAGTCCTGGAAATGACAGCATCTATTGTATATTAGTATTAATATTACATTTTTTTTCTCTTTCTTTTTTCTTAAATCATTGGCAAAACTGGCTTGAATGGTGAGACTGGGTGCTGAGAGTGAGTGAATGAGTGAATGGATGAATGGATGCGCCTCGGCGTCGAAAAGACGAGGAGCTAAGCAATGGGTCTATTTCTATCTTGGAGTAGTGAGCGGAGAGATGCTCAGTTATTTTTTTTTTTTTTTTTTTTTTTTTTGGCAAAAGGACGGCTGGTCGATTGGTCGATTGGCTGATGCCCGTGCCCGCTCGCTCATGGGTTCCAAGCATAACATAGAGTCTCTGACAGTATGGATCGATCCATCGTTGATCTGCATTGGGTCCTCGAGATGGCTACACACAACTTGGTACCCGCGATATGTGTACCTCTGAGCCTTTTGGCTGTTGTGAGGATATCCAGACACTGCCCAACTGCCTAAGCTATGTCTACATGCTCAGCAACGCAGCCAAAAATTGAAACGACGAGCTGTTGTTCGAGTGGCAGTCAAAACTATCGCAGCGGCATGGTTGCCAACTATGAGAACCGTCAACCGTCAAGGATAGTTGATAGTTTTCCTTTTTCCTATTGCCCGTTGAGTGCGTCTTTCTCATCGGTACCTGGGGGTATGCTGAGATAGATCTTGCTCGCTATGCAGGATTTTCGGACACTGACGAGAAGAGACGGCATAAAAAGTGCAGCAACAAGCTTTTTTGGAACTTTGGACTCGGTGGGCCACGCGTAGTGTACATGCCAATGGATTTTAAACATAACATGAGTAGCGTTGTGGCGCTAATAAGAGGCCCCCGCCGGGCCATTTCCATTTCACGCCGAGGCGCCCGCCGCCCCCACAAACAACTCGCTTGCTGTACCTCCCTGTTAGAGTTACCTACATGGTCCATGTGTTGATCGGCAGGATTCCTGTATGTGCTAAACCCACGAGTAAGCATCACTGAACGCACTTTGGGGGAATGGGCGAAGGGGCGAAGGGGCGAAGGCCGCCGTTTTTCAAGGTGGACAGGGACAGCCAGATCAATATAAAAAAAGACAATTGTTTTTTTGCGGCAAGCTCGATTGGCCTGAGTTGCACATCAATACTCCGAGCAACAGAGCAGATCAAGATGGACGAGGGGGGAAAGATGGCGGTATGCGATGCAATGTACCCAACTCGTGAAAGTACATGTCGTGGTGGCATGGTAATGAGATCTGACATGTGCACAGGACCCGGCACATGAGAGAGGTAGTGCAGTGCTTGCTGCCTTTTTAGTACACACTAATGTAAGGATACTGCATAACTGCACTGGTTCGCTGGCTGCGGCCGACGGCACCAGCATCAACGGGTGCCTGCCAGTGAAAACGGCTCTCACGCTACTCAATACAACTCTACCTCCATTACCTACCACATAACTGACTACCTTGCAGTGCGCAGAGGTTAACAATGTTTCCTGACACCGTAGTGTGTATGGTGGGGGGCTTTCTAGCAGGGCAGTGGGCAAAAAAGTGAAGCTGAGTACTACATCAACGCAGGCCGTAGGTAGTGAAATATACCTGGGGGCCAAGTCCGTACCTGGCACCAGTCCCGATTTTGCTGCTAGATACTTTCCCGCTGCCAGGTTTTTTCTTTTCCACCAAGACTTGTACAATTTTTTTCCCCCATGGTTTATTCTCCCTTTCTCTTTCCTCCCCTGGCCCTCACCTAACTTGAGGCTACCTTAACTCCAGACATTACATTACATATACTATTTCCATCCGCCACATACACAAAGTAAGAAGAGTGTATACCTTACAACCTTCGCAAACCAATTTGCCTAATTTAGGCAAAGAAAGTCTCCTGTGCAGATATACCCCGAATCAATACTTTCAAGATTATATCACAGCGGATATTACATTACAACCAACCTCGGTCTTAAGGAAAAGAAGAAAGCCAAAAAAAAAAAAAAATTCACTTACTCCTCTCTTCCACGTCTTCAAAAATTTACGCATCCATCGTCACTACTCGGTCTCGAAGGGGAGGGAAAAAAAAAAAGACAATCGGACTCTTCTTCTTTTTCTTTTTTTTTTAAATATTTCTTCTTCTTCTCTTCTTCTCCTCGCTCTCACGGTCTCTCCCCACTTAGAGGGATCATGATTCCGTTTGCTCCGTAATTTTATTACACCCTCGCACAATCTCATTCTCCGCTGCCGTGCATCCAGCCCAGCCCATCAATCGATTTCATCAGTCAGGTCTGGGACAGACAAGACAAGGCAGACACAGTCCATCCGTCCAAGCTCTTTCCAAGCAATCCACCACCATCTTTCTGCTTCGCATATACTTCGTACTCGCCACCGCAGGGCTTTCGGCGCCTTGTGTATTGGTCGTCTCAACGCGACTCACGAAACATTATCTTCATTCCAAACGACGACTCCGACTCCAACTCGACCACGACGGCTCGGATTGAATCGTCGCTTGCCATCCTTACTCCTTTTGGTTTTCTTCATCGTATTTTCCTTTTTGGTTTGGTCCCGTCCCGCCCCCCCGCCTCCAATGACGCCTGCTCAACCCCCGGGGATAATTCTCTAGCTGTTCCGGGAAGGTCTCTCACCTTCTCCGACGACCTCGCCAACAACTCGCCTACCAAACTGCCGGACCCCCGACCTCCACCAAGTCCACCACCCATCGACGGCAAGCCGAGCACCGCTGCACTCATTACTACAACCCAATAATTCGGGACTTGCTTTCTTCCTCTCGCCTTACGCTTCTTTCCTGCTGCGAGCCGTGCTGCACTGCCCTCTGGCTTTTGCGGTCGGAGCAGCGCGCTACGAAAGTCGATTGTATGCCTCGATCTTCCGCATCCTCCAAGCGACAGCAGGGTGCCCCCAACCAGCGCGACACCAGGCACGAAGCCGGCTCTGTTGGCCCCGGCAAACGCATTTCCAAACAAAAGAGTCAGAACTTGGCCGACGGCAGCTCTAGCAACGGTACGCCCAGCAATAACAACACCAATAGCAGCAGCGGCGGCGGCAGCAGCTCCACGACCCTGCCAACCTCTGACGCCCCGCCCGTACCGGCTACTCCTGCCCACCTCAATGGATATCCGAAGCAGTCTGCCGACATGCCGCTTGAGCCTGCTGTGAGAAGAGGCTCCTTGGGAACCTCGTCCGAGATCTCCTCGGTAGACTCCTTCGCCGCTACCCAAGACGACCACCACCGCCGAATCGATGTCAACGCTACCAAGAACTCCAATGTCCACCGCGACACGGGTCCTTTCGACTTTGCCCTGACCGTTCTTCGATCTTGTCCCCTGCAGGATACCATCGCCATTCTCATCATTCTGATGCAAATCCCCACATTTGCCCTGTCCGGAATTTACATGCTCTTCACCTTGTTGACCTTTGTCACAACTAACAGTGGCTTGACACTGAGCGATGTCTTTGAGTGGAACCTAGGTGCACCCTCGGTCGCCACTGTTGTATGTGTTGATGGTATCGTGCTCCTGATCTGGCTCTTCCTCTGGGGTCCCATCCAACATGTCATCCTCGATCTCGCTCAGATGGTCATTGCCCTCGGGCTGGGAGGCGGTTCGACGTCTCGCGACGGCGGATCTCTCAAGAACAGTCTGATCTGCCTGAGCATGATTCTGCTTTCTCATGGATTGCGTCACACCAAAATGAAATACTCTCCCGTGGGCTATCTGCTTGGCTCTAGTCGTTTTATGACGCCCGATCTTGACGATCCTCTTGAATCCCTCGAATCGATGCGTGGTTACGACAAAGTGCGCTCCGGCTGGATGAACTGGTTCAGAAGTATACTAGCCATTCACATTCTCACCCAAGGGGTGGTGAAGTGTATACGCGACTGGTATCTGCGGAGAGAGAGGCGTGATAACCTTGCCCAGTCGGTCGACCCAGAAGCCGGCAAGCCCTACAGTGGCGATGTCTCCACGGACGCTGGCTTTTCAACCCCCGACAGCGATGCTGTTTCTATCCAACCCCAGTCCGCCTTGAATTCAAAGAAGAAGCGGAAGCAAAGTGCGCAGATTAGAAATCGCCAGCCTTTGTGGGCCGCCATTGCGAGCACCAAAATCGTCGTCGTCAAGGAGTATGAGCTAACCCATAGCGCTGTCGATTCCGCTGGTTCGAATGCTACGGATATTCATAATCTAGGCAATGCGCCATTCAATACCGAGGCCAACCAAATTTGGATTTCTTATGTTGGTTGCGACGAGGTCTGCTTCAACACAAGCCATTTCCCCAACTTTGTTGCCTCTCCTTGCCCCCAGGAGAGCAGCCATTCGTCGAGGATCGATACGTCAAAGCCTTTCTACGTACGTGTCAACCATGCCATCTGGCAGCCTACTCGGATCACGGCCGTGCATAACTCGCAGCAAGACGGAAGCCAGGGTACAACCTGGAGCGGGGATATATACGGACTGACGCCTCTTTCCAATTACGAATGCGAATTTCTCAGCACTGTCACTCATGAGGTCTTGTTCTCCACAAGCGTTAGGACGACCCGAGCCAAGACGGCCGACATTGACGCTGCTGCCGCCTCCAAGGCAGGCAGCCAGAACTCCCTGCGGCCCGACTCTCCCACGACAACGCTCAAGACGTCCATTGCAGCCTCCGAGGCCAAGCTGGCCGAGGAGAAAACCCGCCAAAAGGCGCTGCGCAAGGAGTGGCACCGCAAAGCCAATGCCCTGAAGAAGGAGAATGAAAAGCTCTCGGCCGCTGTTCAGTCTGCCGGTGCTGGAGATGACAAGCTACGACAAAAGATCCAGCAGAACATGACCCAGCAGAAGCAGGCTGAGCAGGCCCTGGCCTCGCTCGCAGCGGAGCTCAAGGACTTCGACATTGTGCCCGAGTCTCTCAAGACGGCCTGGAAAGCAAAGCAGAGTACCTTTAGTGCCGAGAAGTGCAAGTTTGACGAGGCCAATGCCGAGTTCAAGAGCTTTAAAGCGAAGCTGGACGGGGATGTGAAGATGCTGATGGACGAAAAGGCCAGCCTCGAAGCCAAGAGAAACAAGATTAGCAGCCGAATCGCCAAGGTTGATGGGGAGCACGCCCGCATTGCGGATGCCAATGCTCGCGGACTCGACGAGGCCGAGCGACGCCGTCAGGACCGGGCCGCACTCGAGGCGCAGTTTCTTCGTTGGGAACACGACCTTATGGAGAAGATTGCCAGCCACGAGGCCGAGAGCATGAGCAGAGACGAGATCCTCGTCACCCTAAAGGGGCAGCTCGACGCCTTCCACAACCAGCAGTCGTCCTTCTACAATGGCTCGTTTGACTATGCGGACCCCACGGTTATGAGTCAATTGCCGCCCACGACGACCGCCGCGCCAAACACTTCGACTGTTGCTGCCATGTACGATGCAGCCACGGCGTGGTCCAACAGTGCATATAACGCTTCACTGTGGGGTCCGTCACCGTTGGCGCCGGGCTTTGTTCCTCAGTCGACGGCTGCTGCTTTCTCGCCCATGCATTCAACGCCCAAACGGGGCCGGTCTTCTTCGATGCTCAGTGACGTGTCTGGTTTCACGCAGTCCAGCGCCAACGACGAAGAACTGTCAAATATGGTGTCTGGACCGGGCCACATGGGCCCCTCCAGCTCCTTTCGACCTCCTCCTGGGTTCGAGTACCCGCATTACTTGCCGGCCGACGCGGATGTGGTCAGTGATGAGAGCTCGAGTGCGAGCGGTAGTGGTAGCGCAAGTGGCAGCGCCGGTAGTTCAGGTAGTGACAGCGTTAGGGATCCCATGAGCCCTCCTCCAAGTTAATAAAATTCTTTCTTGAAACGTTTTCTTCTTCCTCCTCCTTCTCTCCCTTTTTTCTCTCCCTTTTGCGTAAGCGTTTTTGTATGCTTGGGACTTGACATGTACATATCATGAATGTACTTTCCGCATACTCTCAAGTTGATGCCCATGTACAGGAAGGGGCTACTGCGCCCTGCACTCAGCCTACGCGTCTATGGTGATTCGCAAGCTTTATTGATTTTCGTCATTTTGGCACTTCCTCGCCTCAATTTGTCTTGGCACCTTCGGGAACAGATCGAACGCTCCAAGTAGCCACGCGTGTTCAGACGTTTCTTGTATAGACAGTAACACGAACTGCCCAGTGTATCATCCATGCTGTGTTGGTCGCAAACATGACATGCAATATCGTACAAGGCGCCAAGCTTGAGGACGACGAGAGGAGACTACTGGATGTTCCCCCCGGGGGCTGGGCCACTCTTTCCAAGCCATACAGAGCAATCGTTGCAATGTTAGGGGTAGCTTGGAATGTATATCGTATATGTGTGTGTGTGTGTGTGTGTGTGTGTGTGTGTGTGTGTGTGTGTGTGTGTGTGTGTGTGTGT